GAGCCTGGTTCTGCTGGAGGTTTCTTCCTGTTCAAAGGGAGTTTTTCCTCTCCACTGTCGCTACAAGCATGCTTAGTGTGAGGGATTGCTGGATCTATAAAGGGACCTGAGATGACATGATGTGAATTGGAGCTATAGAAATAAACTGAACTGAATTTAATTGAAATTCACACAGAAAAGACAACAAGACAAATATGGAGAGAGTTAAACCAAGGACCTTGACTTCGCTAGGTATGGAACAGCCAGGGCCTTGGGTTGGGGATTGCATGCCAGTGCCTGGAGGCCAGGCTCACCGCGGACGGACGACGTGGGCCCGCCCTCCTGTGGACCCACCACCCGCAGAGGGATCCATAGGGGTCAGGTGCAGAGAGGACTGGGTGCTTGTGGACTGAGCTTGTACAGGAGGTTGAGAGGTACCGGCTGGCTATAGTCCGGCTCACCTCTACGCACAGCTTGGGTTCCAGATCCCATCTCACTTCTCTGGCGTCGCCCATGGGGAGAGGCGGCGGGCTGGGGTGGTCTTGCTCATTGCCCCCATCTCAGTCGTCAGGTGTTGGAGTTCACCCTGGTGAACGAGAGGGTCATGTCCCTTCACCTTCAGCTTGGGGACAAGTCTCTCACCGTCGTCTCGGCCTATGCGCCCAACATCAGTGCAGAATACCCGGCCTTCTTGGAGTGCTTAAGAGGGATACTAGATGGTGCTCCAAATAGGGACTCCATTGGGGGTACTTTAACGCCCACTTGGGCAGCGACAGCAAGACCTGGACAGGGGTGATTGGAAAGTACGGCCTCCCCGATCTGAACCCGAATGGTGTTATTGGACCTCTGTGCTGATCACAGTTTGTCCGTAACAAACACCATGTTCGAGCACGAGGGCGTCCATAAGTGCACTTGGCACCAGGACGCCCTAGGCTGGAGGTCAATGATCGACTTTGTAGTTGTGTCGTCTGATCTCCAGTCGCGTGTCTCCGACACTCGGGTAAAAAGTGGGGCTGAGCTGTCAACCGATAAACACCTAGTGGCGAGCTGATCGCTGGCAGGGGAGGAAGACGATCAGACCTGGCAGGCCTAAGTGTGTTGTGAGGGTCTGTTGGGAACATCTGGTGGATCCCTCTGTTAGTGCGGTCTTCAACTCCCACCTCTGGACGAGTTTCTCCCAGATCCTGAGCGAGTTTGGAGACATGGAATCTGAGTGGTCCATGTTCTCCTCCTCCATTGTCAATGCCGCCGCACATAGCTGTGGCTATAAGGTCTCTGGTGCCTGTTGCTGTGGCAATTCCCGAACCTAATGGTGGTGCCCGGATGTAAGGGATGTGGTCAGGCTGAAAGGGGAGGCCTACATGGCCTTGTTAGCTAGTGGGACTCCAGAGTCAGCTGAGAGGTACCTGCATGCCAAGCGTGCTGCAGCTCGTGTGGTGGCAGAGACAAAAACTCTGTGTGTCTGGGAGGAGTTCACAGAGGCCATGAAGGAGGACTATCGGTCGGCCTCGAAAGTGTTCTGGCAAACTGTTCACCGCCTTAGAAGGAGGAAGCAGTGCTTCACCAACACTGTTTACAGTGTGGGTGGGGAGCTGATGACCTTGAAATGTTGTCGGGTGGTGGAAGGAGTACTTCAAGGATGACCTCAATCGCACCGTCACGCCTTACGAGGAGGAGGCAGAGGCTGGGGACTTAGAGATGGTTCAGCCAGGCTGAACTCACTGAGGTAGTTAGAAATTTTCTCGGTGGCAGGCCGGGGGGCAGATGACATTTGTCTTGAGTACCTTAAGTATCTGGATGTTGTAGGACTATCATGGCTGACACGTCTCTGCAGCATCGCATGGCAGTTGAGGACAGTACCCCTGGATTGGCAAACCGGGGTGGTGGTCCCTCTTTTTAAAAACGAGGACCAGAGGGTGTTCTCCACTTAAAGAGGGATCACACTCCTCAGCCTCCCTGGTAAGGTCTTCTCCAGGTCGGAGGAGGAGGATCCGGCCAATAGTTGACCCTGGGATCCAGGAGGAACATTTCAGTTTTCGTTCCGGTCGCAGCCCACTGGACCAACTCTATACCCTTCATTGGGTGCTGGAGGGTTCATGGGAGTTCGCCCAACCAGTCCACATGTGTTTTGTGGATCTGGAGAAGGCGTTGGACCGTGACCCTTGGGGTGCCCTGTGGGGGGTGCTCCAGGAGTATGGGGTCCGGGTCCCTCCGTTAAGGGCTATCCGCTCTCTGTATGATCGCAGCAGGAGCTTGATTCGCAGTAAGTCAGACCTGTTCCAGGTGCATGTTGGTCTCCACCGGGCTGCCCTTTGTCACCGGTTCTGTTCATTACATCTATGACAGAATTTCTAGGTGCAGTCAGGGACTGGAGGGTGTCCTGTTTGGGAACCTCAGGATATCATCTCTGCTGTTTGCAGACGATGTCCTGTTGGCCTCATTAAATCAGGCCCTCCGGCGTACACTGGGGCGGTTTGCAGCAGATTGTGAAGCAGTCAGGATGAGGATCAGCACCTTCAAATCCGAGGCCGTGGTTCTCCACCGGCGAAAGGTGGCCTCCCCTCTTCAAGTCGATGGAGAGTCCTCGTCTCAAGTGGAGGAGTTCAAGTATCTCAGGGTCTGGTTCACCAGTGAGGGACGGATGTAGCGTGAGATCGACAGACGGATCGGTGCAGCGTAGGCAGTGATGCGGCCGCTGTATCGGACTGTCATGGTGAAGAGAGAGCTGAGTCGGGGCAAAGCTCTGGATTTACCGATGGATCTACATTCCCACCCTCACCTATGCTCATGAGATCTGGGTAATGACCCAAAGGACAAGATTGGGAATACAAGCGGCCGAAATGAGTTTCCTTCGCAGGGTGGCTGGGCGCACCCTTTGAGATCGGGTGAGGAGCTCAGTTACCCGGGAGGAGCTCAGAGTAGAGTCGTTGCTCCTCCACATTGAAAGGAGCCGGCTGAGGAGGCTCAGGCATCTGTCCCTGAAGCCTCCTGGTCGCCTCCCTCAGGAGGTGTTCCAGGCATGTCCCATTGAGGAAGAGGAAGAAGGGGATGGATGGATGGATGGATGATGGATGGATGATGGATGGATGGATGGAGGATGGATGGATGGATGGATGGATGATGGATGGATGGAGGATGGATGGATGATGGATGGAGGATGGATGGATGGATGGATGGAGGATGGATGGATGGATGGATGGATGATGGATGGATGGATGATGGATGGATGATGGATGGATGATGGATGGATGGATGATGGATGGATGGATGGATGGATGATGGATGGATGGATGATGAATGGATGGATGGATGGATGGATGGATGATGGATGGATGGACG